CACTAATTATGTCAAAACAGAATAAGTCAAAACAGAATAATTTGACAGCGACCTATTTAAGCAGTTTCAGACATAACCCAAGAACATAGTACAGGCATTGAACAAGTACTTAAAATAACTATATACCATTTAAAAGTAGGAGAATCTATCTCTTAATCTTGTAAGATAAATACATTTGTATTCCATTTAAATCCATTTTGACAAACAGTAACACACTGTTCCGACGGAAAGTGTGTAGATTATTGATATATTTATATAGGAAATATCACAAGACCATGAAAATCGCACTGGTATGTTTGAATCCAGAAAAACAAACAAATTTCTTCAAAAGAAATAGTCCGTTTACTTATATAATAATTATAATTTAACTTTATCTTCAAATACCTCGTTTTTCGTTTTAACTTTTCCAATGCAGTGTTTTACCTTCCCTGACAATATAAGTTGTTGCCCAGGGATGAGAACATGAACAAGTGTTTTTTTTTGTAGGAAGACGTGAGTCAAAATTTTAATAAACACATCAATCTCTTAATTATTATTATTTTTCTCTTTGAAAGGTTTGAATAAATACCTAAATATGCGTTCTAGTAGTAATAAGGACTATCTGACAACTTCGGTTCGTAGTCGGTGAGATGAGAACAAATTTATTGAAATGCCAAAAAGATAGCTTAAACACTGTACACTGATTTGACCGACATGACCATAAAATTGTCACACTCTATCATAACACGTCATAGTCATCTTCAAGTTCATCGTCTTTTTTCTGTTTGAAGTGATAAGAGCGCTTCAGTTGTCCCTGGCCACTTATCATTAGAAGCGGTGAGCTAGGACAGACACCTCACAGTACAACCAGGTGGTTAGTACGCAAAGTCATCTTTGAACTTCAACAGTGACTGTCACGGGCTGTAGTGATAAACAGCCAAATCATACAGAGTGATTTCCCTTCTACTTCCGGCTACATTGCATGTGCATTAGTTATTCTGTACAGTCAGCATAACGCGATATCGAAATTATGTCAGTAACGAAGACTTCCTGTCAACGGGAAGATTACTGTCGAAGCTATTTGTATATTCACGTGCATCCAGATTGTGGCCTCACCGATAACCTTCAACTCCAGAACGAAATGCACCGAAATCTGTCTCACAACTTTCTACATATCGGCGTAGCCCACTTAAAATCCCATTAGTTTAACCTATATTTTATCTTCTCTGATGTACGCCCTCCGCACGAATGCGTTTGGTTACGGCCCAGTCTCTAAGACAATGTAAATCTACATGCATCATAAATGCGTCTGTTCTACAGTGTTATTGCAGGATTTACATACATTTCGTGGGGAAAATATCAATCAAAAAAAATTATCACAGGACCATGATATTCAGAAATATTTTGAAGTCTGTTTAATTCAAAAATATGTAGATATCATTCACTGTGACGTCACAGCGAAGAACACGTTGACGTCATCAATTCACAGCAAAGTTAACATGGGTTCCGTCATTTTATCAGTTGAAAATTGATATTCAACATTTATTTACATCCATTGGTTGAGCATCAACTGAAAAGAATATAAACTCCATTCCCATTATTTAGTGAGTTTCACCATAATGGGAGCGCGGTTTGCTTTCTTTAATATATGACAGTGTTTAAAGGCATTCGAAACTAAAAGGACCTATCGCGAATCAGAAAAAAACCCATAAAACTTATATACTATGCAAAACAAATTCAGTAGAACGGCACAGAACTTGTCAAAGAACGAACATATACAAGTTATTAACTTCAAACTCTTATAATTAACTGAACGGTAGTTTTTCAAAACCAAATATGACACTTCTCCATATGTGTATGGAGTTATCGTTCATTGTTATCATCCGGGGACTTGTTATTAAAGGCGGCCATTTAACGGTTGGACTGTTTTGGTTGTCACGATTTAATTCGGGGCTGTGATCAGATTCGACACTACATTTTAGCCAACTATTACCAAATCAATGTTCTCCATCTCGGGCGTTAATCTGTCCAATCTGACCAGGTTTGTCACAACATCCGAGTCAAGTGAGATATAAATATGTTTCCTCATGCATTCTACACTGGAATTAATAATGATTTTGCCTTTTCACTTTCAGGGTTTTGTTATTCATTCCAATGTTCTGACGACATTTTTGAGTCTTTTATATTATCAGCGCAAATGTAATGTTTCTCCTTTTCTGTTCCGGATCAAGCACGACTATACAACAATGGATCGGATTGGTCAAATCTACACTGGTGTAGAAGGGGTTCGCACCATATCTTTTCTACGGTGAACGTTTATCTTCACAAGATAATGTAGCCAGGTAAATACGCCTCTACTTAGAGCTATGCCTATCCATTGTCGAATGTTACGCACGATATTTAAAATCATGGCATCAACAACAGAAAAATACTGCTACATTTGTAGGTTTAGTGAACGTTTATTGTCACGCTTTCTTAACAGAAATCTTTGACATAAGCAATAGTATATCAGCATTCATTAAGTTATCAGTTAACAATCCAATCAGCGCTATTACCAAAGGGAGCAAGCTACAGTTAACAATCCAATCAGCGCTATTACCAACGGGAGCAAGCTACAGTAAACAATCCAATCATCGCTATTACCAACGGGAGCAAGCTACAATTAGCGATCCAATCATCGCTATTACCAACGGGAGCAAGCTACAGTAAACAATCCAATCAGCGCTATTACCAACGGGAGCAAGCTACAGTAAACAATCCAATCAGCGCTTTTACCAACGGGAGCAAGCCACAGTTAACAATCCAATCAGCGCTATTACCAACGGGAGCAAGCTACAGTTAACAATCCAATCAGCGCTATTACCGACGGGAGAAAGCTACAGTTAACAATCCAATCAGCGCTATTACCAACGGAAGCAAGCTCTAGTTAACAATCCAATCAGCGCTATTACCAACGCGTTCGGGAGCAAGCTACAGTTTATGAATGATAAAATAAACAGCTTATTTTAAGTCTGTTACTTTCATCAATTCAAATTTTAACGATCCCGCAACAGCGTCACGGTAAGATTTTTACCCCATTTCTAAAAAAAAAAACATTCATAATTTTGGTAAGTATATAATCATTTAGCAGAAACAGTGAAATGTCCGTGGGAAAAGTTTCTATGACAATGCGATACCAGATATTTATTCTGTCACCTTCATCACAAATGACCGGTAAAACCTTTGTACACTAAAGTGTAAAATATGCCGCAACGGGCTATATCTGAATCGAGATAAGGGGGCCCATAGACTCTCGCACATCTATGACCAGGTATTAAACAATACGTCATTTCGTATATTTATAACAACTAAGTGTCCATACGCTTTTAGCTGTTAATTAATTTTGGTAAGCATATACTTTTGTTCAGAACTATATTTCATTGGCGGCAGGATATGACAGTTTACACAGCGTCGGCAGCTCGCGAACGCATAGACTAATCGATAGTTAGCCATAGTCTAAAAAGTAGATTAAAGTAAGATTAATATTATGAAACCCTGAATTTTGAAACTTGTGACTTTTTTATTTCAGCAATTTTCCAAGGAGGACCAATTATATAGAATACAATTGATAGTTCACCTATTTCATAGACATATATTTATTATCCTTGGGACGAAAACTAATGGGAAAATGATTGTTTAAGTCGGGGAAACCATGTCACTTGAATTTCAAAATGGTTTGAAAGTATAAGAGAGTCTGCAGTACATGTACATATTCGGTGACAAAGTTAAACACGGAATCAGATAAGATCCCGACAACACACGGTATATGGCACAGAGGCCGAGATGTCAGTATAACTCGATCCTACAAATGATGTCTCACTGTGTCTCACTCTCTAAGGCCTCCACAATTCGCTAGCAATAGATTAAGAGTGACACATGGAGCTGTCGTTGCGCAGTCTAAGACGGCTGACGGTCTAACCTGATTTTCAATATTATGGGGAAATTCTGGAGCTGTCGATTCCATGTACGACATAGTATATCCCTTGTAGGGACAAGTTAGTTCAAGTGAACAGAAACATCAAACCAGTGTTGGCACGGAGGTAAAAATGTTTACCATATCAGGGGAGGCCACTCGCATAGTTTATATTGTATATTTGTGAAAAATAGATCCGCTAGGCCCGATTGTAAGTCTAACAGAAACTCGACACGAATATAACATAAACAATTTCAAAACTTCGACATAAGTATAACATAAACAATATAAAAATGTCGACATAATTATAACATAAACACTATCAGAAAATCGACATAAGTATAACATAATTAATATCAGAAACTGGACACATGCATAACAAAAACACTATCAGAAACTCGACATAAGTATAACATAAACAATATCAGAACCTCGACATAAGTATAACATAAACACTATCAAAACCTCAACAAAAGTATAACATAAACACTATCAGAAACTCGACATAGGTATAACATAAACACTTTCAAAAACTACACACATGTGTAACATAAATAAAATCAGACCCTCGACATAAGTCGAACATAATCACAATATCAACAACTCGACATAGGTCGAACATAAACACAATATCAGAAACTCGACATAGGTCGAACATAATCTCAATATCTGAAACTCGACAAAGGTCGAACAAAATCACAATATCAGAAACTCGACATAGGTCGAACGTAATCTCAATATCAGAAACTCGACATAGGTCGAACGTTATCTTAATATCAGACACTCGACATAGGTCGAACATAATCACAATATCAGAAACTCGACATAGGACGAACTTAATCCCAATATCAGAAACTCGACATAGGTCGAACGTTATCTTAATATCAGACACTCGACATAGGTCGAACATAATCACAATATCAGAACTCGCCATAGATCAAGCATAATCACAATATCAGAAACTCGCCATAGATCAAGCATCAATACTCAGACAGGTCTAGAGTAACCACTATTATTGACTACACATAGATATACAAATACAAACAGATTTATAATAACAAATACTTACATCATCATTGAAATTGAACTCGGAAAAGTAGCCTCTGTTTCGCATTTGATTGAGATATGTTTGGGTGATGGGAACGTTGAAGTCGATGATTGGCGAAGTGTTGAGAAAGTCTTTTTCGTTGTTGTTAGGGATTCCATTTGTGTGAATTTCCTCCACGGGAGCTGTGTTTTCCGTTCCAAGATGCATGCGCTTTTGACAGTCAGAACAAGACATTAGAAAGCGTGTAACCGCTTCACGAGGCAGGAACGCGTAGGTCTCCGCAATCTGACAATAAAAACACTCACTTAGTATCACAGTTAACACGAGCTGATTTGATTAGTTAACAATGTGAGATAAATAGCCTATTATTAGAAATCACGATCGTGTGCCGTACAGAGGATATACTAGATGTTTTAATAGTGGACTTACTACATACTTTACAAGAGAGAATTTTCTGTTACCCTGGACAGACGTATCCACACTTTTACCAGTGTGATATTGATAGAATCCCTCGCACGCTTGGGGGTTAGAAAGGGGAATCTCAACCCGAAGAGAAATATTCTTAAGTTGCCAAACACGTGGCTTTGTCAAGTATTTGTCAACTTATGACTCTTTCCCCGAGGGTTGAGATTTCACTATCTCATTCCCAAGAGGGTGAGAGATTCTATTAATCTTTTGTTAAATAATTTACAAGAAAATACGAACTTGTATTTCATAGTTGAGGTACTACATACTTTATAAGAAAGCATAATGATCTTGTATTTTAAACTTAACTAGAAAGTAAGGTATTGTGTTTTATAGTAGATAGACTAGAACGTTTACTAAAATGTATAATATTTTATTGTACATGTGATTTACTAGATACTTTAATTAGAAATATTGAATAATATTACTAACATATTTATACTATAATACAAAAATAAAAAAATATACAACGTCAGGAAGATAAAATGTGCGCAAAAATCAACATGAATGTCAATAGCTATATATTTTGAGAAGACTGGACATATGTAATACCTTAGCGATATTTAATCAGCGAACATGTCTAGCAAAATGATGATGCAATCTGATTATGTTAAAAACATTCTGTAATGAATCATAAAGAAAATAATATCATGAGTTTTTTTCAAAATATTATACAATAATTGATTTCATTCATCTTTCTTTTTTGTGTAAAAGATAAGCGATTCGTGTACTAAAAGGACCCTATTCAGTGCAGCAGTGAAAAACCACTGGAAATCGGAAATATCTCATCGAAAACCTAATAAAAAAATGAAAATGGTTCTACCACGTCAACAGCATTTGGTTTAATAGGTCATTTAATTATTTTGCTTCTTTAAGACTCGATTTTTAATCAATCTGGTAACAATGCTATCTGACGTTGCATTTTATTGAATTCATTCATTTCGCAGTTACCTCCCGTTGACTGTTGCTGATGCTACGCTATTATTTTTACGTAAGAGTTGCTTCCCTTAGGCTTTATATCTATTGATTGTAGATTACCTTCAGAAATAAAAAAAAATAAAAAAAATGCAAGCAGGTTGCCACTTCACGAATTTTAATTAAACTAAGGAAAACCTTATTGACCATGTTAAAGTTAGGTACAAAGAATGTCTGGAGTCCAGCAATGCTTTCAATCAACTCATTCACCCTTGAAATTTCATAATGAACTATTCCAACCTTTGAATTGCGTCTTCATGGATAAATGAGTTAATGAACGTCCGCAACACTGACCTGGAATAGGGACCTATTATATAAGTATTTCATGGCAGCTGGATATTTACGTATACAGACTCCAAAAGTTCACTCGCGTATCGTTGTTTATTACACGTGATGACGCAAACGACACATGCGCGTGAACAACTCTGTGACAAACAAAATCTTCAAATAAGAATTCTTACATCGAACTTGTTAAATAACTAACTAGGATATATTATATTTATCACTACACAGCTGTTTCAAGACAGAAGACCGCTCCATGTGGCCTTTTAGCAGTACTAGTATATATTGTACATACATATAAATGTATAACAATTAACCTCGAACAGCTCTGAATAGCATGTATGTGTTTCTCTGCAGTCATATATCAGTTTATTTTAATTAAACTAGAATCAGTTATTTATCGGCCCGATGTGTGTTACACGGGGCATCGTTACGCATAACAAACGAGAAGTGTGCAAGTGAGTCTGAGAACAGCTCCGCGGTAACCCGCTAAGTGTAGGCCTCTAGTCTGCTAATTGTGTAAACAAAAGCTAATTGCTCAGTGATTTTATTCAGCTTATACAACCCCACTGGCTTCTGTTGTTTTTAAAAGACAATTAAAAAGGAAAGGAAAGAAACTCGGCCCGTCTGTCGAATGAATCGGGCATTACCATTTTCTCCGGTTTCACCCCGGGACGGATCATTGTCTATCGTCCATTACTGACACCTGACAACGTGGTCTGTCGAACAGTGTTCAAATCAGTACATACAGATTTTTACAAATGATTTTAGACAGAAAAAAATGCTTAACGCTTTTCCTCTGAACTGATATCTCACTTAGATGGAATCTAACGTGCAAGTCTGCGAAGGGAAAGTGATCCGTAATTTTCACCTCTCGTGTAATTAACCAGCTCGTGCTCTAACGGCTCGTCGTCAACAAACACAGCTAGTAATGCCTTCACAACTGGTCCTCTCCTTTTTTTGAATATATTTATAGGGAAACTTGTCCGAGCTTGGCGCCTAGGTAACCCCACGCGGTCCTGTTACTGAATCTGATCACCCAGCCCACCGTCCCTGGGACCATGGCCATTATTCCCTACTGGCGTGTGGGGAAGGATATTGATGACAAGGTCGGGGATTCAAACAACTGCAGTTATTTCAGCTGGCAAAGCCGCCCTATAAACTCGGTATTAGGGGAAACATTTTTAAAATGTGTTCGGGCATAAACTCCGTTGTTACCTTTTTCTCATGGGACACAATCCGGCGTCGGAATTGAATTTTACGAAACAGAGACGGAGCGGGTCCTGATTTTAACTCGCCCATTTTAACTGGAGGTATTGATCCCTATGACGATTAGACTCTCACAGCGCCGTACCCACATTCAATTATGGAGTATTTAAAACAGCATTCGTTCCCACTGTATGGGCTGACAAACGGACGGAGGTAGCGCTAATCTATATATATTGAGAAAATTTGACCAAAAGTGTATTTGAGAACTCTTCATACTGGTGCGAAAATGTAATGGACGACGACCAGACATTTTCCCGAAGATGAATGGAATAGGACTAATCTGCGTATCTCTTCTCTGAACATTGAATACAGCTTAGACCAGCGAAACAGGCAAAATCATATGTAATTCAACTATTTTTATGTATGAATATATTTCTGAATCTTCAACCCTCACCCACCCAATCCTTTATAATAAGAAACATTCTTCAACCCCATCCCCCATCCCTCCTTTTCTAATAAGCAACTCGTTTAACCCCATCCCCACCCCTTCTGTTTATTCCGGAACATTCTTCAACCCCACCTTTCTTTATCACACAATATTACTTTATTAAACAAATGCGAAACAGTGCGTAATGATAATATATTAGTAAACAAATCTATATCATGCGTAAACAATAATATGTTATTGAACAATTCTCGGCACGGCCAGCAAACATATATATTTACCAAGACTCGGCTGTACGTTGGTGAAAACGAAATATGTTTGTCATAGCATTCAAAAGCACCGTTATCAGACAATACACAAAACACTCATATTTTTTTCGAGATTTATTTATTCCTGAAAACATTTAATTATCATTAAAAACTCCGTACGCGTTTAATGTCTCGGTAAGAAATTGTGTATGTTTTAACTGTTTTAACATTAATGTACTACCACGTGGCAATCGAGAACCGTGGTTTTAGATCGCAATCCGGCTTATCTATAACATGATGTTTCGTCATTTTTCAAAACCCCAATGTCACCTGTTAGTCGGGAGTCGGACAACCGTGGTATACCAATCCAAAATCGTGACGTAGCATGTCAGACCGTTGTAGTTGTACGTTTACCATATCCACGGTTTTGTGCCTCTTCTCCTTTATAAAACACGGCCTTGGTTCAGATGACAGATTTTTATTAAATTTATGTATGTTCGGGAGTCATTCTATCATGCACTGTGTAAGTGATGATCATTGGGTTCCGCGCGACGATGGGGCAGACTGCTACAGCTGCTGAACAGCGAGCCCGGCTTAGTGTCACAAGACACAACAATATACTTACAGAACATCACTTCTCACTTATATTTACGCTACCTGACGATACACTCAAGCGTGTCCTTAACAGGCGGGCGTACCTCGTTAATTTAACATTAAATAATACTCAGCTCCATGGAGGCTCATTCAAACAGTTTAGGAGAGTTAAAAGCCTTACTGTACCGAAAAGTCTACGACACGGAAGTATTGTGTTGATTCATCGAGGTGCTGTACCAACGCGTGACTTGCGTCAACTACCCTCACCCAGTGGTGTTCTTCTGGGTCTGTTAAAATAGTTCTATCTTCTACCTAGGTCGCTGGCCTTGAAGGAGTATGAACAACTAAAATGCTGAATTATTTTGCAGTTAAGGTATGTTTTCAATGTGTTATCTTCACAGACAGCGTTTCACTGCATTGGGTCTGTAGGCGACACCTAACTAGGTAATTCACCGCTTACGAGTGTGTCATTGCGATGCGTTATGTCATAGCTGACGGAAGCCTTTGTAAATGAAATGTGTATCCCTGTCGACCACTACGTCCCGATAAAACACTCGTCACCAAGCCCGATAGCGACATGATCAGATTCTCTCGATAATGTCCCAACAGAATGTCCCGAACATTGTAAACTCATTACAAGCGAAACGGGAATTGAACCAGTTTAGAAAATTAATTTCCATTCCGCAATTCCCTATCGGTAGCGTATCTCCTGTCTTAAATGAATAATCTTGATAACAATAATAAACCCAGCAAGTTGTTTGTTGGAACATCCGAGATCTGTTTAAACATTCTGGGCTGTTGATTTGTGATAGGCGCTTTAATAGTTCATTCTTCACACTTTCCGGAATTCCGGACCGTGTTTTATTTTTAACTTTACCATGTAACGGTTACTGTTGTCTGTTCATCCAATGGCCGTTTAATCACCATAAGGATTGCGATCTCCAGACAAATGTCTGGGTCGTTTTCACGCTTACAATCTTAATCGTCAGAAAGTTTAAATTTCCTTGGTCAACTTATGGGACGCACTAAATTATGGGCACCGACTCTGGGTCTTTCGACTACGCGAA